ATTTCAACCCGGAAATCTAATCGCTGGTTCCCAATTGTGTATTTCTGTACCGCTATCAAAGAGAAACCTTTTGAATAGCATGAAAAAGTTCAATTTTCTTCCGAATACGTATTCTGCAATCTTTTGACGACTCATCATATACATCTGACCCGCGCTGTGATGTATAGTCATATACACGCACATTATTAATGAAGTATTTACATATATTCCCCCTATTCCAGGTATGGAGCCCTGGTTTACAAATGTAATATAGAACATGCATGTGTCCCAGAGAGTCATTCAAAAAACCTAAACTGCATGGATTATTTATCAAACGTACGGCTGTTTCCCACGAAAATAAATTTGGATTTTTATGCACTATATGGGTACCATAAAAATATTTAATTTTTCTTTAATTTATAGAACAGGAAGGAGCGAGCGGAGTTGAACCACTGACTCCAGTGACCTGTCAACCTGCAGTCGGATGCTCTACCATTAATGCTACTCTCTCTGAGCGTTCCGTGCAGCATACCTGTCATATGCTATATTTCTTAGATACCTGTAAGAGAAAGCCTGAAATAAAAAAATACATAAAGACGGAGAATGAATGTTTTCAAAGAGTTTCTAACAAGAATTGAACTCCGATTCTCGAAGTCAGAGTCCGAAGTGATAACCATTACACCACAGACCCTAAAAATCTATCAAACTTACTGACGAATGTTGGCTGCATAGTATATAATTATGTAGTTTGCTACGCGCATCCACCTTATTAAGATAAAGTGTTCATATAATTATATTCGTGTTAAGCTTGCACATACGCCTCATTATCTCAGTGGTTAGAGCACTGGTCTTGTAAACCAGGGGTCCAGAGTTCAACTCTCTGATGAGGCTTTTGCATACTTTTGTATTTACAAAAGTATATAGGCAACCAAAGCAACTATATAATTTATCCTACTCAGAGCCCGAAGTGCTAACCATTACACCACTGGAAATAAACACCTAGAAAAAGTACTGAGAAATTCCTGGCTCTACAGTATATCTATGCACGCCCATTATTAAGATAAAGTAATTATATTCCCTGTATTCCAGGTATGGACTCCCGTTTACTTTATTCGAAATAGCACAAATTTTATATTCATAGCAAAGAAGCAGTGTGTAGAAAACAGGGTGGCGCAGTGGAAGCGTGCTGGGCCCATAACCCAGAGGTCAATGGATCGAAACCATTTCCTGCTAAAGTTATCATTTCAATAAAAAAGATCTTTTCGAAATTATATTCAAAAACATATATTTTTTTAAAATTGGGCTATAAGAGAAAACTAGAACTAAAAAACTTACATAAAGACATAAAATTAACAGTTCCAGCAAGGTTCTACCGAGAATTGAACTCAGATTCCCGGATTCAGAGTCCGAAGTGCTAACCATTACACCACAGAACCTAACTATCTACTGAAAGACACAGCAGAAATTGGTGTTTGAGACATTTCAAACCGGAAATCTAATCGCTGGTTCCCAATTATTATTATTATTATTATTATTATTATTATTATATTATTATATATTATTATATTATTATATTATTATTATTATTATTATTTTATTATATTATTATATATTATTATATTATTATTATTATTATTATATATTATTATATTATTAATTATTATTATTATTATTATTATTATTATTATATATTATTATTATTATATTATTTATTATTATTATTATATTATTATTATATATTATTATTATTATTATTATTATTATTATTATTATATATATATATATTATTATTATTATTATTAATTATTATTATTATATTATTATTATTATATTATTATTATTATTATTATATTATTAATTATTATATTATTATTATTATTATTATTATTATATTATTATTATTATTTATATTATATTATTATTATTATTATATTATTATTATATTATTATTATTATTATTATATTATTATTATTATTATTATATTATTATTATTATTATTTATTATTATATATTATTATTATTATTATTATTATTATTATTATTATTATTATATATTATTATTATTATTATTATTATTATTATATTATTATTATTATTATTATTATTAAGTTCTGTCGTTCTACAATAAAATTTAAGCTATACTATGTACATCTAAAATTACCTATCTAAAAATGATTACATAAGTCTATAGCATGGACTATTGGACTATGCCTGCAACGTTCTGTCCTACAGAAGTAATTATATAATTTATCTTTGTTAAATTCTCGTTTCTTTTCACTAACGTTTTTCACCTGTTTGGCAACAATTCGTGAAGCCGATGATTCGGGTCAATCAAATCTTTAACCAACAATACACATGCTTTATTTCTACGTTCTTCCAGTGTTTCCAATTACTCACAGTTAATTGCTGCTATAATCCTTATAACCAGTATGCTCCGGATAAATAATGTTAAGAGGCCTTCTTTGGACTCTCTCTATATTATCCCTTTGCATCTTTGTAAGTCCACCACTCCATATCTGCATACCGTACTCTAGAACAGATCGAATAACTGTACAGTAGAACATCAAAAGATCCTCAATAGGTGCTCCATACCTTCTCAAAATTTTTAAAAAATGTAATCGCTTGGTTGCCTTTTTACAATATATTCTGTGTTGGTCCTCCATTTCAGATCATCATCAATCCATACTCCAAGCAATTTATAGGAGAGTACTCGAGCTACTTGACAACCGCCAATATTAATCGCCGGTATATCTGTTTTATTCTTTCTAAAATCAATAATCATTTCCTTACACTTTCCTCCGTTCAACTCCATCATCTCGTCTCTGGTAAATTGGATTACTTTATCCACCCATTCCTGTGAGATTCCAATTGGACTTCCCGATGTATGGGATGATACATCAATCACTTCATACGAGGTGGTGTCATCCATAAACATTGTTACATCTTGTTCCTCAGATGTGATGGGTTTGGATTTCATCGGGAGGTCATTAATTTTCAGGATAAAGGATATTGGCCCTAATTTGGTTCCCTGTGGCACTCCACCGTTGATTCGCTTTAAACTTGATCGTTCCCCCTGAAACGTTGTTATTTGGGATCTTCCTTGTAGATAAGATGCAAGCCAAGCAACTAGTTCAGGTCTAACACCATTATTGAGAAATGACTCGAGCAGTTTATTGCGGTCAATCAAATCAAAAGCCTTGCGAAAGTCAAGGAAGATGATGCGAATAACTTTTTAGTATTATCCATAGCCATATGCCATTTGTGTATCAATAACAACAATGCATAAATTGTTGATGACCCAGGGAGCCCACCATACTGGCATCGACTTATCTTTTCTCCAACATCCTCGATGATCCAACTGTTACGTAAGATTCTTGAATTTTGGATAAAACACTCGTTAAGGCAACTGGTCTCAATTCATCAGCAGAACAACAAGGTTGGTTTTAGGAATAGCACATACGTTTGATATTTTCCAAATATCAGGAAAAACACGTTCTTTAAATGATTCGTTGAAAATATGAGCTAATGGGAAAGCAAAGTGCTCAGCGAAATACTTGATTATTCTGACATCAGGGTCGTGGGGACCCGCTGCTTTATTTACGTTAAATTCCTTAGGTTGGATAACACACTATCAACTGGTATTTAGGTAGAGGCGATTTCCAATCGAAGTCCACTCATTATTAACTACAGAAAATCCGGTAGTAAGATTCGTAAAAAAGTTATTGATATGTTCGGCAGTTTCTCTGGAGTTTAGTGGTGCAGCACTTTCCGGATCGGTAAGACTAAATTCTTGCTTCTTTTTGCCCACTATCTTTTTTAACGTTTTTCCACCATGCTTTCGGTTCATGAACGCGTAGAGGCTTGATCCTTTCGTTGTACAATTTACTTTTTTCTTTACGGATCTCCGATATAATTTTATTTCTCATTTCTCTAGATTCTACTATTCTTCCTTGCTGATACAGTTTGTCTCTCTTGATTATCATGCTCTTGATCTTCCTGATATGAAGGTTTATCGTTTTCATGACGTTTGAACGTTTTGATGGGAAAAGACTTGTAATCAAATCATTGGTGATATTTAGAAACGCTTCCACTTTGGAATTTACACTGCACGAGTCGTACACCGAAGACCAACTTTTTCGAGTTATGAGTTCATGAAACAGATGAACACTAGACTCCTGGATTGGCGACAGGTGACTTTTCTAGTTTGATTACCTTTGGGGTATAGTCTTAGACTTCAACTCAATCATGCAATGATCGGAATTTCCAAGTGGGGCTAAAACAGTTGGCTTCTCATAAGATTGATGTATGTTGGTAAATACAAGGTCTAGTGTTGCATTCCTTCGTGTAGGATCTTTAACTAGTTGTTTTAATTGGCATTGCTTCTTGATTATTCTTTCTTGAAAGCCATTTCCTGTTGGGTTAAAGTCCCCAGAGACGATTATCGCTATATTTGGACTTTCCGAAGTTAGGGTGTCATAGCAATGACAAAAAATAGTCGTAGAAGTCAATTTCATCGGAGTTTAACGATGGAGGAAGATATACACACGCTAATGCTATCTTTGACATTGTTCGTGGTAGCCATTTAGGGCGAATTACGATCCATAAAATTCATGATCCACGCTAGAAAGATCATATCGAACTTTTTGTTGGGATAGAGTCTTTAATAAAAAAGGCTACGCCGCCACCTCTACCATATTCTCTATCATTCCTAAGTACATTGAATTGTGGTAATCCAGGAAGGTGCACAGCTTCATCTGGTACGTCATTGGATAACCACGTTTCTGAAATCATCACAATGTCAGTTTTTCTATTGTCGATAACATGCGAAAGTTCATCAGTTTTCTTCAAAATTGATCGAGCATTTAGATTCAAAATATTAGGTAAAATACGATTGTGTTTAAAGTTTCGATCGTGCGTATTTTAACCAAATTTGAAGTATTTCTTGAATTGTCGGCATTCGAAGATTTCTTGTATTACATCGGGTAGTAATTCGGACAGGAATCTTGCTAATAATTTTATCATGACAATCAGATGCGTTCTGGGAGATTACCTCTGTTTATATCAGAGCTACGTTCAAGCTGACCGCCCGCCATGTTGTAAACTCGACGCTGTTGTTCCATTGTCATCTCGACGCTGTTGTTCCATTGTCAAATATGACGCTGTTGTTCCATTGTCATCTCTCGCGAAACGGGACCTTTCTTGGTTTGTTAATAAAAGCCGTTTATACAATGGCACTAAACTTATTAAACCTACTAAAGTGATAACGCTAACAACAGATGCCTCGTTATCTGGTTGGGGTGCCGTATCTGATGTTGGAGTTACCAATGGGATATGGTCCCAGGAGGAGAAAGCCCAACATATTAATTGGTTAGAGCTTACCGCAATCTGGCTAGGCGTGCAATGCTTTGTCCTAACTTCCTATTGTTACATTAAAGTATTTTGTGATAATGGATCAGCCGTAGCTTACATTAATAACATGGGTGGTTCGTGCCCTAATTTGCATTCAGTTGCATCCCAAATTTGGCAATGGTGCATTGATCGTTCTTGTGTAATTGAGGCCTTCTATATCCCGGGAAGACTTAACATTCGAGCGGATAGTCTTTCCAGGGGTCACCAGCAAAATTTGGAATGGAAATTACACCCAACTGTATTTCGGTGGATAAGCCAATCGTATTTTACTCCGGGAATAGATTTGTTTGCTTCAAGGCTGAATCACCAAGTAGCTGATTACGCGTCATGGCAACCAGACCCTGGGGCAGTGGCTGAGGATGCCTTTTCCCTTAACTGGGTAGGAACTAAACCTTATTTCTTTCCACCTTTCAGTCTAATAGGAAGAGTGCTCACGAAAATGAAAAGAGATCAAGTTGCCGATGCAATAATAATAGCACCCTGGTGGCCAACAGCTCATTGGTACCCAATGTTGGTACACCGGATATTCTCTCGTCCGCTCCTACTCCCTCAATGGAAACAGCTGTTATTACACCCTGGGAACAAGGACATGTTGCACCCTCTGTGGCAAACGATCCGCTTAGCCGCGTGGCGTGTCTCAGCTCTAGACTCCAAAGTAGAGGACTTTCAGAAAGGGCTGCCAAGTACGTGCTCAAGTCTTGGCGTCCAGGCACCGCAAAGCAGTATTCCGCAGCATGGAAGTGTTTCTGTAGCTGGTGTAGTGCGAGGAAGGAAGATCCTCTTCAAGCGTCTTTAGGTGTTGTGTGTGAATTTCTAACTGATCAGTTCGAGGTACAGAAGAAGGCATATTCAACAGTGAACTCATACAGGTCAGCGTTATCTTCTATATTGCCCCCGGTAGACGGGCCTTGTTGGGGGAACACCCGGTTATTGTACGACTATTGAAAGGAATGTTTGTCACACGTCCTCCCCAACCAAAATATTCCACTACATGGGACGTTAATGTATTGCTGAAGTGCTTAGAATTATGGGATCCACTTAAAGATTTAACGTTAAAACTTTTGACTCTCAAAACTGTGGCCCTGGTGGCTCTTGTTTCTGCTCAACGCAGCCAAACCTTGGCTGTATTAAGCGTTGATTCTATGACTAAGACGCAGGATGAAATTCAATTCGTTGTAACGGACATTTTAAAGACATCTCGTCCGGGGAGAGCTTCCCTTGTGGTACACTTTCCCGCGTTTCCTGAAAACAAGAAGTTGTGTGTATACTCTACGTTGTTGGCGTACATTGCCCAGACTACGGAAGCTAGACAGTCCTTGAACACTTCAAAGTTATTTCTCTCGTTTGGCAAACCATATAAAATTGTTTGCGCATCTACAATTGCTCGCTGGTTAAAAATGGCGTTGGATTTTTCCGGAATCAACACCGATATATTCAAAGGGCATAGTTTTAGATCTGCTTCTACCTCGAAAGCAGAGGCACTTGGTGTATCAAAGACGTCATCTTACGAACTGCAGATTGGAAACGATCTGGAACTTTTTGTAAGTTCTACAAGAAAGCTTTAAGCGATGACGCTGTGTATGCAAAAACGATACTTAGTTCATGAATGGAATGATTGCTGCGTGTGTGTCCAATTAAATATGGCCTTGCACTTCTCTTGAGTACGTGTGTATTAATTGTTCGGTGCTCAGGCCACACTTTAAACATGCATAATGAATCCTGCAGTGCGGAGTATTATGCGAAGGAGAATATAAAATTAGACAAAGGTCTTACCTGCAGGATAATTGTGATTCTCCGAGTATAATACGAAGCACCAAGGATTCATGTCCCTCGCACCTTCAAATTTTATGAGTATGCCCGCTCATTAAGACGGTTGGGAAGGGCTCGATTTGCATAACAAAGAACTTTAAACCGTGATGGCCTGGTGAATAGTGGCGAAAAATGCATAATGAATCCTTGGTGCTTCGTATTATACTCGGAGAATCACAATTATCCTGCAGGTAAGACCTTTGTCTAATTTTATATTTTCCAATGCGCGATTCGATTTCGCTCGCATGATACGGCAATTCCTCCAAGAGGAACAAATAAACCGTTCTTTTCATGCTGTTCGATTAAGTTTAGATTGAATTGGGGTAAGAATATATTTAATACATGTAGATTCCGGTCCTATTTTAATAATATCGCTGCTATTTCGCTGTTTAACAAGATGATGTGGTCGTGTATGGGCGCGTTGACACGTCGCGTAGTTTGCACAGGATCAAAGATTTAATATAACTATATAAGCGCGAATTCCAAAGGCAAAGTGTAAGACGAAGCGAATGTATCATGCGGTTTATTTACATTTTTGAACAATTGAACTTCTATACTGCGATGTGCTTCTGAATTTCGCGATCGAACATTTAGGTTCGTAAGGCATCTAAATGCGAATATGTATGCGAAACAATACGCGAACTGTATTGTTTATGTCCAGAAGCTGTATAGTGTCCAGAAGACTGGCACGTGCGCCGGAGTTAACGCCAGAACGGCGTCTTGTTTAGAATAAGTTTTCAATACTTCACATTGATCTATATTGTATATGCTTATGATTCCAAAAGACAAAGGTTTGAAGGCTTTAAAATCTTTCTTCCAAAACTTTGTCTGGATTGGAATCATAAGCACATGCTGACAAAGGTATTCTTCTCTCTCCCAAGTAGCCATAAACCAATACCTTTTCAGCTTGTATGCAATGGTGACTTGAAATAGGTTAATTTGGATACAAACTGAAAAGGTCTATTCACTCTATTGGTTTATAGCTACTTGGGAAAGAGAAATCGAATACCTTTGTCAGCATGTGCTTATGATTTCATTCCAGACAATGTTTTGGAGGAAAGATCTTTAAAACCTTCAAACTTTGTCTTTTGGAATCATAAGCATATACAATATAGATCAATGACAAGGTAAAGTATTGAGAACTTATTTAAACAAGACGCCTGTTCTGGCGTTAACTCCGGTGTCAAGCGAAATTTGACCATTGCGAAATACATGACCACGCGTGACGAGTCACGAATTTCGCGGCTTACTCGAGCGAAAAACATGACGATTGCGAAATCTATGACTTCGGCGGCCGAGTGCGACTGTTTGGTTTTGGCTAATTTTGATCAAAATTTTAGTACGTTTCGGTAGTTAATCGAGAAACGTGTAAAACAAAGATTCACTAGGACAGATAAAACATCATTGAAGGCTATTTAAATCGCTAAAATACTATTGATTATTGAATTTGAAAAAGTATAGTTGGTATTATACTACCACAAAAATTCAAGTATAATGGTACATTGCTTCATTTAATTTCTGACAAGATCATTTTAACAGTTCTACCAAAATTATTTACGTCATTGGAATTTATATCTTATTTACATATATTTACATCTGCACCTTGCATCACTTCACCTAGCTGCACATTAGCAATAAAATTTTCCTGAAAGTGCTGTTGCGAAGTTTACACTTCTGCAACTGGCGTGAAAGAATTGATAGCACCGGTCACACCCAAGCCAGTCTTCACCATCATCTTTCTTGCAAATTTTGCACACACTTGTATTTCTCCCAACAGCACTGCAACAAAAATTCCAAACAGTAGTTAGTAGACATGTGTGTAAGTTTTCAGATTCACTTTTGAATGTGTACATAAAGGGTAAATATATAAGCTAAATGAATAATAAGAGCTATAAAAGCCAAATGAATAATAAGAGCTATAAAACAAGTAACAATAATAAAATTTATAAGATCATATCACATATTATTATGATGCGATGCGTCAATGCGAAGTTATTAAATGGCTAGACATACCTTCATATTCAAAGTTTCTCGAGAATTGAGACAGCATGTGGATATTTTTTCCTTGCGACTTTGTCAAGAGTGGCAAAATGAGTAGGCTCCTGGCATCCTGATTTTAGGAAGTGCAGCACTTCTTCCACTTAAGCCTAAGACATTCAATTTATAGTGTTAATACATGGCCAAAACAACGACAAATTAATAAATATCAATAACAGTAATATCTTGGTTATGATCAGTATGATCACAATAATTACATTAAAACAACAGTCCGAATATCGGTATCAGATCGAAGTCATCGAACATTTGAATTCGAACTAAACAGAGTTTGGACGACAATGACATACCTTATATTTACTGATTTCCGAGTCAGGTTTCTTCGCTTTAACGCCAGAACAGCAAGCTGATTCAGTTGTTGAATTTGCAGCCATTTAGGAAAGAAAAAACTTCGAAAAATCTTCCTTCGAGACAAGTCAGAGAATACGTGTTGAACGGTAAACAAGTTGCGAAATTTATGAACAGAATGTAATTTATGCGCGCATTTGCGCATGCCCAGAACTGCGACACTCATATATTTCGCAAGTCATAAATTTCGCGTGACACCTGCGTGGTGCTCACGTGCCAGTCTTCAATATAAAGCTTCTGAACATAAACAATACAGTTCATATTCATTTAGATGCCTTGCGAACCTAAATGTTGTTCGATCGCGAAATTTAGAAGCACATCGTACTTTAAAAAGTATAGAAGTTCAATTGTTCAAAAATGTAAATAAACGGCATGATACATTCGCTTTGTCTTACACTTTGCCTTTGGAATTCGCGCTTATATAGTTTATTAAATCTTCATCCTGTGCAAACTACGACGAGTCAAAGCGCCCATACACGACCACATCATCTTGTGAAACGGCGAAATAGCAGCGATATTACTAAAATAGGACCAGAATCTACATGTATTAAATATATTCTTACCCCAATTCAATCTAAACTTAATCGAAAAGCATGAAAAGAACGGTTTATTTGTTCCTTTTGGAGGAATTGCCGTATCATGCGAACGAAATCGAATCGCGCATCGGAAAATTAGCCAAAGCTGTGCACCACAACTCTTGGGAGACAAGACTGGGACATAGATAAATCCAATCACATACGCATTTTAAGTACTAGTACATTTTAAGTACTAGTAGAATTTTCAACTCTGTCGCTGACGCCGGAGTAATTATCATGTTTGAATTGAAATGGTTAAAAGACATGCATATTAGCCAATAGTTATTGTTGAATACTTGCCTGTTTTAATCACCTTGCACATTTATACTTCCTTCCATCTATGTTATGAAACAGACGCAACGACCAGGGCGCATTGTTGGACCAAGAACTGGTCCCTAACCGCTGCTAATCTTCTTCTTCTTCTTGTTAGGGGCAACGCTCTTTAAAGTGCCTATGAAATGAAATTTTTTATTTCATGTTCGTGAAGTGTTTAGTGTACAAACGACTATGTTGAAGTCGCAAGCTCTACAAATAATTTAATGAAAAGTTATTGGGGTTTAAACTTGCCGATTTGGCCAAAAAATGTGGTTCACTTTCTGCGCGGTCAAATGGCGTCAAATTACTTCCGATGACGTAAAGAACAGGGCACACACAAATGACACAATAACATAAGCTCTTACTTTTATACGAGATACACGAAATCTCGACTTTTCGAACAGTCTTATCGCATATTATAAAACTCTAAAAACGAAGAGTCTCGCTCGAAACGTCAAATTGAACCTTCGTACAACTTCAATATGACGAAGCGGTTTAGTTTAACTTTTATATAGGCTTGCGTGAATCGCAACATATGACAAGATTACACTGCGCGCTAAGCGCATTTTATGATAAACAACTAAGGGAAAGGTTTTTATACATTAGAATATAAGCCGTAGATATGGAGGAAACATCTCCTTTATGTGCAAATGAAAAAAGAGAAATTCTTGTTGTGTTGCTGGAAGGCCAAATA